GAATCCAACGAGGTAGCAATAGACGACAGACCGTTTTGGGTATTCGCGTCATTACGAGACTTGCGCGCAGCCTCGTCGCTCTCTCGGCTCTTTTATCGCTCCAAAAACTGAGACGGACGACGTTATCGATAGGAGTAGTCGTAACTCGCGACGGCGCTCACGACACATCTAGTCGACTCCTTTTGATGTCAACAGATTCGGGACTCGTTACATTTTAATTGCGACGCGAAATCCGACGGAGTGAGTGTCAACGTTCTGAAATCGTTAGGGTGCCATCGTGTCACGATCGTAATAACGACCATCTTTTCAACGCGGATTTTAATTTTTTTATCCGCGTCTGCATTTCTCCAATATCAAGCGTGTCGCGCGCTTGGACGTGTGACGTAATTTATCGGTGGACCTCTTATCGGAGAGTCCATCGAAATTTCGAATCTTCATTAATAAAAGAATCACGTCAACGAGATTGCGAAAGAAAGAGATTTCGCTGTTTCGTTCGGCTATATTAATATTCATCAAATTATTTAGAGCTCGCTCGCACTACATACTTTATCTGCGGTTGAGGGTACTGTATACGATTAATATCACTCCTCGTTAGAAGTACTAAATATTAAGTATACGCAGATTATTGCGATAATCGTATATCAAACAATTTGTACAAAAATTATTTACTGAACTTCCGCTTCGTGAGAATCATCGAGATGAGCAGGTATTATATAATTCCCAAATAATTTTGCAGTTTCAAAGAGGCCAGTACGACCCGAGGCTGCTTATTGGTCCTTCAAGTTCGGCGGAATTTGGCAAGTTAATGTATAGAGCGAAAATTTTGAACTTACGCAAACGCCGGGAAACTCGCCGTTAGAGGCGAGGCCGAACATTATCATCTATCGTGTGGGGTTGAGTCGGACGAGCGGGGAACAATGGCATCTCGGGGAAATATTTTAATTAGCTAGGCAACTAGGCCGCATTTTCTCTCGTCGCTCGAACGTTGCCCCATTTTTCGGCGCGCCCTGAGCGGCCCCCGTTCGTCCGGATCACTTTTAAAGCCGCTGCTGCTTAATACTCGGTGACATTAATTGAGACGAAGTATCATGCAAAACGCCTCTGTGCCCGCGCATTAATAAATCACGCGCACGGCACAGAACGTAAACGCGAACGCGCGAATCGATAAACGACCGCCGCCGCCGTCGTCGTTGCTGCCGCTGCCGCTGCCGCGGAAAAATCGTTTAACTGCGGAACAAGAGGAAAAGGAGACTCCACCGGCTGGCTCGCTCGCCGGAATAATCTTATTAAATGAGGATTCGAACTTGACGAAAATCCAATAATAAGCCGCGCGCGCGCGCGCGCGCGAAACAGCGTCCCGCGTAAACGTAACCGGCGTGCCGTAAGATCGCGCGTCCGTATTCTCCGCAATTTCTAGGCAATTTCCGTGCGCGGAATGCTCCGTTGCCCAATTACCCGGCGGGACGACGAGTATTATTGGGATTTTCATATGGGCGCGCCGCACTTTTACAGCGTATCGCACGGCAACCGGGGGAGAATTCCTCCACCACCCCTCTTGTCCCTGGGCTCACTCGTCCCGCCGCGCGCGTATTCCGCGATCCAACAAAGAACCCCTCTCGTTCCGTTCATCCGGTTCTTTATACTCTAAAAAAAAAAGCACGGGATGTGGAGCAATTAATTTTTAATGTCGCGGTAAATTTACTCGGGCTTTTATTCGGGCCACGTGAAATGGGATTACCTCCGGTAAGTAAATGTATAGGAGTAATTAGCGCTAACCGACGGACGTTAATGCCTTTGATATGCATGACCGCCGAGCTTCTTGGCGTATTCGGTCGGACTCTTGCTCTCTCCGTGTGTCAATTTACATCCGACACGATTCGCGAGCTGCGGCGCTCCAGCGCGCGCGGAGAGACGGCGTTTGTCTCAAGCGGCGTTCAGCGCGACCGAAATATCCGGAATAATTATCCATTAAAATGCGCCCGGGACAAGGCGAGGCGACATCCGCAAAGCTGATCCGCGTAATCGACGTGAACGGCTATCATCTTTCATCGAAGCCTGTCGCGTTTGCGTCGGCAAGCCGCGGGGGGGGGGGGAGGGATTGAAAACGATGAAACGGACAGCAGGAATAATCGGTGTTTTGCCCCGAAAGTTCTATCAGCCCGGCTTCTTCATTTTAAATTGCACCGACGGGGCGGTAAAGAACGCGAAATGAGACTCGCAAAGCAAACCCCGGCGCGGGATCCGAATGCGAAGCGGTACGCGTGTGCCACGAACAAATCGCGGGCGGAATAAAGGCTTTACCGTTTGCCGTAAGCGCGCGCGCGTCTGTTCCTGCCACAAAAGGCACCCGCCGGCGACGCGATTTAACGAAATTTATTTCCGAGTCGATTAACTTTTTTAATTTAGCGCTCCGATATGTAGCAAAGGCGCGTGCCGCGCGGCTCAGGGCGCATAGGCATAGGTACAGCTCCGCCGAAGATATGCCGCGTACCAGTGTATAATCGAATACAGTATACTCGTCGAAATCATTTCTCTCTACCTCCCTTTCCCTCCCGCGCTTCCTTCCGTTCTCTTTATTCACCTTGCATTCTCGGCGCGAGCCGGCGGCGGAGGCGAGCGGGGCGAGCGGCTGAGCTGCAGTTTCCGCGCGTTTCGCGAACACTTGGTCCCCCCACATCTCGGATCAATACATCCGGACAGCGAGCCGCTCCAGCATGTCGATGAGCTACGAATGCTCCGAGCGGCGCAAGTGATGGTTACCGCCGGCGCGACTCAGCGCGCATAGTTGAGAACCTAATCACGGATTTCCTAGACAGTCGTAAAACCCTTATTAGGTATTCGGCTCGCCCCTCTCCCGTAATCCACGACGGAACTATAATATCGTGCTAATATTATGCATGGTGAATCGCGCAACTCGATATTCGCATGCCACACGTATTACACCGGCCCGGGCGAGCGCGGCAGAGCGCGCGGGGCAGGCGGGGCGGCCGCGCCGTTGTCCAACCATAAATAAGGAGCGAAGTAGTATTAGCCGGTAATAAGCTCCTCGAGTTTTACGGCTCGAGGATACACACGCGAGCGAGCGAGCGAGCGAGCGAGCGAGCGAGCCGACCGGATCCAGCCGGAGCCGTTAATTCGTTAATTCATTTACGCGAGATTTATGCGGCTTGCGCGGCGATGTCTATATCGCGCCGATATATTCCCACGGAATAAACAGTGATATCCCCCGTGTCGTGTAATTTGCAGTGCATCAAGCGCCCTGTGAGTCCTCACAGGACGACTCCGTCTCTCTTCTTATTCCTCCCCCCTCCCTCCCTCCCTCCCTCTCTCTCTCTCCCTCTCGGTTTCGTTATTTTTTATTTTTCTCTCCCTGTAACATACCAGCGCGGATTTGTTTTCATATCTTTGCGAATGGGCGGCAATTGTGATATCGACCGACTGACTAATTGCCGAGGGCTTTTCCGGAATGTTCGTGGAAGCGGGATAATCACGAAGAGCACGAAAGAGAGAGAGAGAGAGAGAGAGAGAGAGAGAGAGAGAGAGAGAGAGAGGGAGAGAGAGAGAGAGGGAGAGAGAGAGAGAGAGAGAGAGATTCGCCAAACGCGTGCTGGATATAATTGGATGTCTAGGGAAAAAAATGGCAGCATTACCGGCAATATTTTATAGAAACCACTTTTTCTTTTTCGGTTCGGCTCGGCGACGCGGTCTCTCGTTGGGCAAGATAGAAAAATATCAAAGGGCCGGGCGATTTTGTGAAACGCGTTCGTCGAACTCGCCCGGCCGTCGCGTGATGTTCGTTATTACATCGATCGTCAACCGTAGCATCTGTCACCGATTGTTACGTGCGCTAATTAATTAAATTGGAAGACTATGGCGCTGCGGAAATCCTCGAAAATCCCGCGGCGGCACAGAAACCCGCCTCCGGCGAGTCGTTACACGTGCAAAACGTAACTCGATTTGCGGCGACTAATGTTGCCCGATGCGATTACGGATCGTGATACTCTTCCGCGCGACCGCAACGGACGAGTCAACTTTCCGAGACTCGCCGGCCGCCATAATCGCGCTGCCCGCTGCATTTCTTCGCAATGCAATTTTGCGCCACTCTTCCGCGAAACGTCCATTATCGTCAAAACCGCCAGCGATCTGCGCGTCCGCCTTCCCGCTTTTCCTCCTGCTCCTCGCGTGCCGACCAGAGCCCTTCGATACGCGCCGGCAAAGAACTTTGCTCGCTCTCGCTCAAGGGTGATGCAGTCTCTCAAACTCGTCAACGAAACGGAATCTCTCGCGCGGCCTCTCGCGACTCCATTCAATTACTCCTCGCGACATCTAAATCCACCGACGGCTCCTCAATTCATCGCGCGCGAGCACGTGTTCTCGCGCGCGCGCGCGTCGAGCAATTAACGCGCTATAACAAATACCTCCGCGGCAGCGCGACGCCCGGCCGGGGCTGGGGGTCAAAATGATTCTTAGGGGGAATTTAATTTTCACAACGCGATAAATACCCGCCATCCCCACCCCCTTCTCGCCCATCCGTCTATCCGGTCTACGTCCAAAGTCGACCGTGCCTCCCGCTCCCGCTCCCGCCCCGTCTCGCTCGCATATGCGCATTCCCTCGTTCTCCCGCTCGCTCGCTCGCTCGCTCACTCGGCCGCTTCTCGGAGCAAGCGTGCCGGAGCGGCGAATTCTTGGCGACATTTCGGGGCGGTTGCACGCCAGTACTTTCCCTCGCCGCCGACGAGTACCTGTCCGTGGCTCCGCGGTGGAGCCCGACGTGGGACGTTCCGTAGGACCTGCGCGCTCCGCCGACTGGCGGTTCGGTCGCCTCTACAAGCGGCACTCACGTTCCGCGTCCGGACCGCACGCGCCTTCGCGGACACGTTCGCGAGCACAACGTGCCTGACGCTTTCTCTCTCTCTCTCTCTCTCTCTCTCTCTCTCTCTCTCTCTCTCTCTCTCTCTCTCTCTCTCTCTCTCTCTCCCTCTCTCCCCCCCTCTCTCTCTCTCTCACTCTCTTTCTCTCCTCCCTCACATCTGTGGTCTTTCGTTCTTCGGCGCGATCACCGCAGCATTCCGCGACAGAGAGCTCTCGCCCAACGGCCGGCTCAATCGCGGGGATTTGCCGCGCGGGCAGAATCCCGCGGTTCGAGAGCCCGGCGGTCCTATTACAGCGACGAAGACGAAGGCGACCAGTACGAGCGCGCAGCTACGTACAGGACGAGAACGCCGAGGATCGTCCGTCGCGCGGAAGATGCGAGCCGCGAGCGTTTTCGTTCGGCCCGACCACGAGGACGCCCACGACTGACGCGGCAGTGTTGTGGGACCTACGCGAGGGACCGGCGTGTTTGACAAGTGATCAGTGAGCGGCGGTTCTCGGCGATTTTCAGTTAGTGCTACGTGAGAGAGCGTGAACGCGGTCAGCGCGGAGTGGCCGGCAGCCGCATCGTGGCCAGAGCGACGGCCAGGTAGGTGAGTTTCCGTTTGTTTCCGCGAGCGCGCTCTTCCCCTGTTGCTTGTTTTTCTCTCTTTTTGCCTTCCCATCACCGCTGCTACCACCACCACTACCATCACCACCACCACCACCACCACCACCACCACCACCACCACCACCACCATCACTGCCACCACCTCTACCGCCGCCGGTGGATCGAAAGACAAATCGCGATAGCATTCGATATTGTCTCCCGCGAGTCTTCGCGCCCGAGGCTACTAAAGCTGAGAAAGTGCCGCTTCGCGCGGTACTCGATGTCGATATAAACGAGCGGTGCGAACCGCCTCGACCGAGAATCACGCGTCTTCCCCAGCGGCGGGATCATCGCCACCCCCGGGGACGACGGGGAACGACTTCATTTACGCGAGTGCCCGCTTATACGCGTCCGCTTGAGCGAGTGATAGATGCAAGGCGCGCACCGGGAGGAAGAAAATAAAGAGAGAGAGAGAGAGAGAGGAAAAGAATCGTTTCTTGTTCCGTTTCCGCTTGCAGTTCGCCGATCTGTCTCCGTGAAATTATTCGCCACGTGGCGTCTCCTTTGCCGCGTGTCGTTCCAATTACTCGGCCACCGGACTCGCGACATAATAAATTAGTAATGAAAAACTTCCTATCGAGAGTCTCGGTGAAAAATCAAACACCGCTCACACGCACGCACGCACACACGTACAGAAGAGTACTTCTGTTAATTAAACAACACGAGGAGGTGTTGTTTACGCAGATGTTGTCACGCAGATGGTGAATAGAAGATAAGCGCACCCCCGATAACTTGATCGGTGAGAAAGAGAGAGAGAGAGAGAGAGAGGGGGGGGGACGGAAGGAGAGAGCTCGGAGTGCTGCGATCGCAAAAAGCGATCCGAAGTGTTGGTCGGCGGACAAAGTCAATATGTGTCGTCCTCTTTTCGCAGTTGATGAACGCGATATGTCATAATCGATCACGGCGGCTCGCAGGGGCGAGTCGTAAAAGCGAAAAGAGCCCTTCTTTCTCTGTCACGTACGCGGGCAACACGTCGCGCGCGGCAACGCGGCTATTCGGGAAAATTAATCGTAGCACGCTCGCCGGCGTCATAATTAATCGCGTCATCGGTCGGCGACTCGTGTGCTAATGACGCAGGGATTAACGTATATACGCACGTGTACACACACAACAAACATACACACGCGCGCGCGCGTAGAGAAGTATACACGCATGCTCATACGCGCATGCGAGAGCGGGAGGGAAGGAGGGAGGGAGGGAGGGAGGGAGGGCGCACGTCGGCCTGATGCACTTCTAATTATTGCACCGCCAGCCGCATTTCGTCCTTCGGGATCGAGCCTTCGGCTTAAAGCCAGGGCGCGAGTACATCGTACATTATTCTCGATCTTCGTTCGCCGGCGGCGGCGGAGCCGGCTGGTTTTAACCATTCCGCCCTTACTCACCGTAGACTCGGCGGCGGCGGCGGCGGCGGCGGCGGTGCGACCGTCTATTAATAATAAGGAGGAAGATCCCCGGGTCTGCCTTTGTTATCAAGCATCGTGTCACAGTATGAATTGCGGCTATGCCGGGTTCGGCTCCGTGCCGTCGAGACGACCGGCATAATGAATGGCCAATAGCTGGGTGTGCTCGCGGAACCGTCAGCGCGGATCCGCACCCCCTGCACGAATTCGCGTTCGCGGAGCGCCGTCGTTATTCTTGCGGAAGGTTCTCGCAGGCCCCTCGTTACTCGCCGAGCCTCCCGTCGGCGGGAGCGCTTAACTTCACGAGGAAACGTAAAATCCGGAGGATTTTTTGTTTCTCGTTTTTCCCTCTCGGAGGTAACGCTGCTGCGTACTTGCAATTCGCCCGGGCGCACGTATAACACGAAGCACCGTCGAATCGCTCGTGAAAACTTTAGATCTGCTTCTCTCTCGGCGTTAACATTCCCCCCCCCCGCCCGCCCGCCCGCCCGGCTTAAATTTCGGGCCCGGTCGCGTATATCCGGCCGCGCGAGATCGATACAACTGAAACAACTGTATCTTCTTGACACATTGATTGCCAAGTCGCCCGTGCGAAATACATCATCGGTGATATATTGATAGCCGAGCAGTTAAAATAGAGCACCTCGATGCAGAGAATATTTTTTCCACCGCCCGACGGAAGTCAATATTCGGATACCTCGGGCACGGGATTCGCGCGTGCATCCAGCGCGAAGGCGGAGGCGCGAGGCGCGGGGCTTGTGAGATGTCGGGATGTAATACGACGTGTAACATCGTAATGGGCGATCTGTAAATCATGCAGCGAGGTAGATTGTTGCGCACGCCGATACAGATGGTGGTGCGCTCGTTAACTCGGCGAAGAGTCTCAGGCGGGATTAGTCACTTGATAATTAAGAGCATGTGTTTTGCAAAATTACAAGACAGCCGGCTGGTCGGGCGTATTAATTAACGCGCGGCGCACGAGCGCATTCATCAGGCATGCATATCCGATTCGAAAATCACGGTCCTGAGCGGAGCGGAACGCGATGCTTCATTCTAATTACAGCACGGCCGACTGATCGTCAATACGTCCCGATTTTCGGGATTTCGTGGCACGCACGCGTGCACCTCGGTGGTAGAAAGGAAATCGCCACGAGAAAGGAACGATAAACCGGCCTGGGCGAGTCGCTTTGTCCGATCTTCAATTCAGCGTACTTTGGACGGCGAGGTCAGACGCGAACAGAATCGCCGTGTATAATTTTGAGTGATACGTCGCATCGCATCGTCGATGCAACTCCATCGCTGTTGGACTACGAGATGTACGCCATATTATCATTATGTATCTCGCGACGTTGTTAATGGGGAATGATCGATCACGCATCTCACGGTGAAACCGGTTGCATATTTTGCAGCACACATCGAGGGGAAAAGTATGTTCCAGGTTCCGTGTATTGTGTGCACGAAATATAACTGAAATACAAATATAAAAGAATGTACAAGCGACTCTCCGTGAAAAGAGAGGATGCTCTCTTCGAGGATTGTGCTCGTCTTAACGCGACCGAGGGTCATCAGCGGGTCGACGACTATCGATTCTGGGGGGGACAACCCGAGCACCGTTTAAAATTCAAATGCGACTTCGATGCTTTCGCGGGCTGACAGTAACGACGACAGTAACGATGTAACGTCGGCATTGGGATAAAGGAATATAAATGAGGATCATCGTTCGTACGGCCGCGAAATAAGACCGCGGTCGAAACGGCTCGAAACGAGCGCTCGGCGTTTCAAGCGATCCGCACAAAGAGCGCGAGCCCCCTCAAGTTGAATTTGTCGCTCGACGCTCGAATCGATAACTGCCGCTCGGCTGGATCGGTAAACTTCCGAATAATACGTCGAAATTTCGCCGAGAGTTTCCCGTTATCGCTTTTAAGCGCGCGGCGGATCGACATTTGGATAAAAGAGGAGATACCCGAACGAAGATATAAATATTTCATTTAAACCGAATCGAGCCGCAACTCGCGCGTGCTATCGAACTTTTTCGCAACGCAGAAACTCCGTTACACGCAGAAACCAGTCCAGTCGCTATCGAAATAATTTACCCGACGCGCAAATATTCGCGCGTCGCACGATGAAAACTAGTCACGCGCGGCGCGTCATTCCTCGCATTCTCGCCGGTCGGTGCGCGTCGGTGAAAAGGAGGAAAAGATGATAGCGGAGCGCGTACAAAAGATGACTTACGCGGCGGCACGTGGGTGTGAAAGGCAGCTTGATTCATGAACTGATCTCGAACGAGCGCCGCGGTGTCGCAGAACTCTCGTCGACATTACACGGCGAGAAGGCACAATGTCTGTCCGTCCCTCCGCTCGTACGTCCGTACGCCCCCGCGACATTCGCATTTAATAAAACAACGCGACGCGCGTCACCATCGCGACACGGAAACGATATTCCACGGCCGTGAGATCGCAACTCCACGGAGATACACTGGCGCGGAAAGACGACGCGGCGCGGGCGGCTCTTTGCGTCCGGAAGCGCGGGCTTCCGTCCGCGAAAAAATTCGATAGTTTCATTTCGCTTTTACGGCGCCGTAACACCGAAGATTTCATCATCGCGGGATACGGACGGAGAGCGAGACGTGGGCGCTGCGCTGCTTCCCGGCTAGAAGAGACGGGTAGGCAGGCAGGCAGGCAGGCGGCCGGGGTTGGGGCACGACAGCGAGGATCAGTCGGGCGGAAAGCTCTTTCGGGGCGAAATACACGCGGCTATGCAAATATCCCGGGTCGGGCATTCGAGAGAAGGGATATGCGCCTGAGCGAATGCCGGTACCCCGGCCTGTGCACCGGCTACAAGTAGCTCGTAGAGACCGAGAGCCTGCACCCGCCGTCGCCGTCGCCGTCGCCGTCGCCGTCGCCGGTATTTCGCGAGATCAGGCGATATCGAGCGGATATCGAGCGCGCGCGGATCGAGCAGGAGGAGAAAAGGGTGAAGGAAGAGGGGAGAGGAGAGAAGGAGCAGGATAAAAAAAGCTTCGAAAGAAATCTTTCGCGAACGCGCGAGCGCGGCGAGTCGGGCGGTAAAGTTAAACAGCGAAAACGCGTTATCGCTCTCCTTACGGAGCTGTTGAACCTTTGAATTTCGCTCCTAGCACCTAGCGCCGAGGGCTCTCCCAGCACCTACCGCGATAATTATGGAAATGGCGGCGCTGTGTGTATACGTGTGTGATGGAGCCACGGATGTGTCTGATCGTATGTATACATCGACCTGACGATAATGCGTTCGCGACCGCGCCGATCATTTTCCCGGCCGATCGTATATGCCGGGGAATTGACTTAACGTCGATTTTCCATGCAAATGTCGGCCCCGACGCCGCGGCCCGGGATTGCCGTGGTGATTCGCGCTCGACTTGCCGATCTGCCATAGATCCGACGGTGCTTTCTATTCGCTCGTTTTCGACCGTTCTCCGGCCGTAACTTTTGAAAGGGGTTACTTCGCAAAGACGGAGAAGTCGGCGGCCCGACCTCCTCGAAGACGGGAGAAGCAGTCTTTCTATTTA